TAATTAAATTTACTCATTTGACACTTATACTAAAATTAATATTAACTTTTATAATTTTTTATGGAAATTTATAATAAAAAAATAGGTTAGAAAAACCCTTTAAAAAAAAAACTTTATTAAAGTTAAATTGGAGGCTATAGCTGCAAAAATGTAATCAATGTTTATTATTATTATTATTATTATTATTATTTTGGCATAAATCAAGCCATAAATTCCCAATTTGCTTGATTTTTCTACACGGCATCAGTTTTAAAGTCAAAGTCAACCACTGAATACAAAATTAGAGATGAAGGATCCTAGATCTTTCCAATTGCTTGATTTTTCTACGTGCTTTCTTTACGCAATTTAAAAGTTAAAATCCCTAAATTCCCAAGAAAATCTACAAACTTAGCATATTTAAGGCCCAACCAAAATGGGCTAAAATCCAGCCCTTATCTACAAACTACTTAATAAGGGCCCATCTATCCTAACTAGCCCATTACATCCCCACCTTGCCTTTAGGCTTTCAAGAAGTTGCTGACTGCTACACGCTCCGTAATTGCAGCCAACTCAACTTTGGTGCTTCATTCATTCACTCCTCGCACTCTTAGGTATTGTTTGGATTGGAGGTGTCGGACGGAGAGGGAGGGGAAGGGATGGGGACGGATGGCAAGGGAGGGGGAGTGAGGGGGAGTTGTCTCCTTCCTTTTGTTTGGGTTTCCAAAGAGGTAGAGGGGGAGGGAGATGGACTGATTCGGACTCCCTCCAACTCCCCTCGAATATGCAGATTTGCAATCCGCCCGATTTGGGGGGTTTGGGAGGGATTTGAGTAACTGATTACATTAAATTAAATGTAATTACAAAATTAACCTTAATTTTTTTATTATATACTTCTCAATTACAAGTTTAAAGGGTAAGTTTGTAAATTTAAAATTAATTTAAATCCTTCCCTTCCTTTCTTTCCTTTTACTTTAACTATCCAAACATAAAATAATACAATTCTTCCCTTCCCCTCTCCTTCCTTATTTTTATTTATCCAAACAAAATTAACACAAATCATTTCCTTCTATTTTCTTCCCTTCCCTTTCTTTTCCTCCCCCTCCAT